ATTCCCATTAGCCTCTGTGAAGCTCAAGGTCGGTGATATTTCCTTTCCTGGAGATCCCACACTCTTGAGATTTCTTAGGCCACGCATGCAGTGCACACAGGAGATTTTGAAATTCTGTTGCACAGCTATTTGCAAAACCCCGTCCGCCAACTTCTTCGTGCCTCTGTTTCCCTCTGCAGATCACAGGGGCACGTGTGCCTGTAGCCTGACCTTGGCGTGTTCACAGTGATTACAGATTTAAACTGTAAGCCCCAACACTCATAAAATCCTAGTCTCCCTACATAAAAATGCCCCAAAGTGGTGCTTAATTTCACATGCTTGCCAAATCCTAAATCCCAAAGAAAAAGCTGATTTACCTTTGTGCTGAAACCTTAGCTCAACAAAGCTCTTGACTTTGGGAACACGCTGGTGTCCTGGGCAGCACCTCATAGCAGCGATTTATGTTAGGGCTCTCCCTGATTTTCTAAGTGCCATCGAACTGTCCTGGCTAAAGAGAAATGGACACAGCTTTCTACCAAAGTGTCTCAGGCAGGCTTTCCAAGTGACCAAAGTGAAGTAATCTCAGGACAGACCATTTTACTCCATGTTCAGACGGTGGGTTTACTGCCTGGGACTTCGTGAATTTTCCTTTCATCTTTCTACACCCTGCCCCCAACCCATTTTAATGTATTTCTGATAATGAAAACAAAAATGCACACACTTAACCTTCTAAAAAGCAGATGAAAGCCATTCACTTCGGAATCTGAGATGCATCTCTGTAAGCACCTGGTCACTGAATCAGGAGAAGGGGATGACAGAGGATGAGATGGTTGGATGGCGTCACTGACTCAATGGACATGAGTTTGAGCAGATTCCGGGAGTTGGTGATGGGCAGGGAGGCCTGGCGTGCTGCGGTCCATGGGGTCGCAGAGTCGGACATGACTGAGCAACTGAACTGAACTGAACTGGTCACTGAATCTACACGATGATCGTCCTGCAATGACTCTGGAACTTCTGTGAGCTGACTACGGTTTCACAAAAAACCAGCTTTAGTCAGAAAGCTTGTGGGAGTGAATTTCTTGTTAGAGAAAGGTAGGGAGTTTCCCAACACAGGAAGGATTCAAGCAGAGGGTAGTTGACCTTGTGTCCAGGATTCCTGATTTCAGAGAGGCTGAAGGTAAAGAATTTAAGATCTCCACCAAAGGATCCTAAGATGAATCAGAAAACACTCTTTATTCACATGGTGTTTTACAAATCATAAAACTGTTAGACACACGTTTTATCTCACTGAACCTTCAAAACAACTCTCGGGTGGATGGGTTTATTATTTTCATTTTAGAGATGGAGAAAGGTTTAGATAGAGGTGAAGGGATTTCTCCAGACTCACATCTTTGGGAAGTGGAGGGTCTTAGGACATCGAGGTCAGAAACGGCCACATTCAGGATGAGGGGTCAGCCTGAAGCCGGCCCATCACTGAGGCGTCCTCTCTGGGCCCAGAGAAATGTCTGTTCCGGCCATCCCTCCCTCCCGTGTCCTCAGGCTGGGCCTGGGCGAAGCTGCGTGTCCTCAGGGCCCCTTACGGGTGCTCAGTTACTAGAGCTCAGGGCTTCCTGTCTGCGCAGAGGTGGGGTGTGCGGAGCCCGTGGTTTAAACCTGCGCCGTGTTTCAGCCCATTCCTGGAGTATTTCCTCTTAGGGCAGAGGCGCCCTAAGACGGAGGCATCAGGTGGGCATTCAGCGCGGAAGCCGGGCTATTTCTGCTAGGGGACTCCTTCCAGCCACACTACCCTGGCCGCCCCACCTAGTCCGGCCGTGAGAGCACAAAGGACAATGCCTCGGCCCCGGGGTGGGGTGGGGCGGTGCTGGGGGCAGGACGTCCGCTTCCAGCCCTCAGCCCCTGGCCCGCTGCTCGGGGGACGGCCCCTCGTGTGAGGGCCTGGGAAGCAGGCTTTCTTCCACGCTGGCTGTCCTATCAGATTTTGCCCTATTTTGGTAATTCAATGGGAAATGAATCCACCCAGGAGTATGGGCTGGCCTCCGAAAGGAAGGTAAACATAACAAAGAGAAAGTCGTTGCCAGTTTTAGAGACTATGCGTTCGCAGGAATAAACAGGAATGCAGCCCAGTGGGAAAGCAGGCGTCCCACCACACCTGCAATCCAACAGGCAGGAGTCCAGCCACAAACAGGCTTCGTATCTGCTTTCATTCGGGTTGGTCAGTGGGGATGAAGGAGGGAGAAAAAAGACAAACAGATGGTTTCAAATAGAACAGTGCTGGAGTAAACACATAAATTTATTTTATATAAATTCTATTTACATTTGATATAATTTACGTGTGTATATTTACTTCCAGTCTTGTTAACTCCTAATGCACCAGGAAGGAGGTCCATTTTCAAAGAATCTGCAAAGAACTTTTTCCCTCTGAGTAAATATCTTTGACAGAGCATGAGCTCTGGGTCTGCTGGCAGTAGGTTTTCTGACTCCGAGGGCCTGAGGAAACTGATGTTCAGAGAGAGGCTGAGCGACTTGCCCAGGGATGCACAGCTTGGGAATGTGAAGCCAGACTCTTGCTCAAAGTCTCCTGACCCACCGACAGGGGTTTTTCTGTGCGCCCGGATAAGGCAAGGCATGAGGGGGCTAGGCACCCAGCAGGGTACATACATCCGCACAAACATGTGATTATTTCCCCCCGAAGGGCATCTTCTTGCTCAGACTGCCCTGGGCGCACCTGCTGGCTCAGAGGAGGGATGCTCAGAAATAAAAGTAGACACAGATGTTTTCTGTCTCCCGCACCAGGGCATTAGGGATATCGGAGCTTAAAAAGCAGAACTCTCTGGGACTTCCTGGCAGTCCACTGGTTAATACTCCGTGCTTCAGTGCGGCGGGTGTGGGCACCATCCCCGACAGGAAACTGAATTGGAGCTCTAAAGAATGAAAGCCCTAAGTTTATGCCAGAAACAAGAAGCTTGGAAGGATAACTGAGATTGCAGAAATCAGGGAGGAGAGCGGCTTGCTCACATTTATGCTCAGTCATGTTTTAGTCTTTGTAAGACTATAGTGTAGCCTGGAGCCCCCAGGCTCCTCTGGCCTTGGGATTCTCCAGGCAAGTATACTGAAGTGGGTTGCCATTTCCTCCTCTTCCAACCCAGGGATCGAACCTGCATCTCCTGCGTTGCAAGCAGATTCTTTACCCGCTGAGCCATCGAGAAAGACAAGGAGAAGGGCTTAGGGTCCAGGAGAGTCTGGGTGTTCATACATCTCACTGAGAAAGGGGGCTTGGCACATATATTTCACATGTACCCAAGGGGCATGGGGGACCACAAACCTCACAGCAGCCTTGGAGACGGAGCAAGGAGATGGAGCTCTGCGTGGATCAGGGACGGACAGCCTAGGCCAGCGAGGCCATCTCAGGGGCCCGGCAGAGTGCACACTGGCCGGGGACCAGGCAGCCCCTGCCTATGGTCCCTACAGTGACGGGGACCCTTCCCCGCAAGCTCTGTCGCCGTGTGAGCCCCTGGAGTGTAGAGACAGCCCTGGGAACCAAAATACACTAGAACCATACACAATCGCCATTTTTTTGTTTAGAAATGATCAAACAGCTGTAATTTCATCTTGTTCAGTGTGATGTCATAGGAATCCCAGAACTGGCTGCAATTTCCTTTCCATCACCCAGCAGGGGGTGGGGATTGAAACGGAAATCAAGTTCAGTCACAGTCAAACAAAGACACTTGGACTTGCACCCCCACACCTGCCCTTGTTCAGGGGCTGCACAGCTCACACCAACACCAAGCAGTTCTAGGGATGCCCAGTGGCTCCGATCTCCTCCGGGAGAGCCTGGGATGTCTTTCCAAGACATTCGGCTCTAATTAGAATGGATTCTCCTCCACAACCTGCCATTTCTGACGTATGCATTGTTTCCTGTTTTGGATGGAGCACAGGTGAAGCGGAGAGGACTCATCCTCTCCTTATAATTCAGTCTGGCTAACAATCTTCTCTGCGTCACACATGAGGACGGGGTGGAGGATGCAGGTCATTTTAGAGTGCAAGCAGGCCCCTAGAAATCGCCACTATGAATTTGTAAACAGGGTCAGTTTTGCTGTAGGCTTCTTACCAGGGGAAGGCAGGCAGGTGGGGAAGCCTGGTCCCCGCAGCAGAGTAACGGCAGCAAGGACAGTGCCGGGAAACTCATCAGCACTCACTCCTGGTGTGTGACCCTTAGGATGAAGTGTAACGTGAGGAGTCTGGAAGCGATTGCCAGAGAGGTTGGAGGGCGTTGCCCCTCCAGAAGAAGCCATATCTAGGTGCAGTGCAGGACTCATATGGCCAGGAGGACAAGGACAAGTCTCTAAGGCAGCGGTTCTCAAATTGTGTACCTCGGTGCACACATACAGTACCAGATAGTTTGGATTTTTGAGGGAAATGTGTGAACTTCTCAGACTTACCTGGTGGCTCAGATGGTAAGGCGTCTGCCTACAATGTGGGAGACCCAGATTCGATCCCTGGGTTGGGAAGATCCCCAGGGAAGGAAATGGCAACCCACTCCAGTACTCTTGCCTGGAGAATTCCATGGATGGAGGAGCTTGGTGGGCTACAGTCCATGGGATCGCAAAGAGTCAGACATGACTGAGCAACTTCACTGGTTAAATAATTGAGGTTTTTCTTTGTGTGTGTGTGTGTGTGTGTGTGTGTGTGTGTGTGTGTGTGTGTGAAACTTGGCTTTACTGAAATAGAGAAAAGAGACAACAGGAATCACACTTGATGCTGGCAGTTCTAGGTCCCCTGCTCCCAGCCCTCTCAGCCCCGAGGCCTGGGGGGGCTGCCTGCCCCCAGGGGGCTCTCCCACTTGTCTGGACCAGGAAAGGCCTCCCCGCTGGAAAACTGCGTGGGGTGGGCACTTTCAATGTGCATTTCACTGCCAGCTTTGTGATGAGCAGCCAGTGCCCACTGTGACAGCAATGATAAGACTAGACTTGACATCTCGGCAGAGGACCCATGAAAGAGTAACGCAGACCCAGGGCGCATACGTTAACAGCACATCCACGACAGAAGACAGGACACTGGTGCAGCCGGCCACATAGCAGTAGGGGGGTGGGCCACAGGTCTGCGGGGGCCGCGCCTTCACCCCCAAGATTAGAAACAGCCAACTGAATGCTCGTGTTCACATTCTCTGGGAGGACAATCAAAAGAGGGTACTGAAAGAGAAAACATTTTGAGAACAGCAAAGGCTTCCCGGCCCCGGGCGGACTCTGGGCCAGACACTGCGGGCACAAGGACCAGCTGCCACCCGGGCGAGCCTCGGCGGTGAGCCCCACGGGCCGCTCCTGGCCGCACAAGGCCTCCCACTGATGGGCCAACAGCGAGATGAGCCTCGCTGGGCTCTCGGCCCTAGGGACAAACACTGGACCTCACGGCCCTGGCCGCCTCTGGCCGGGCCACCCAGCGCCTCCCCGCAGTGGTCCAGGGTGACGTAGCCCCCGGGGTGGTGGCCCTGCACACCGTCAAACACCAGGGGTGACGGCCGGCGGATGCGTCTGGTAGCTCAGGAGCACGCGGCCGAGGCCCCGGGAGCGGCGGCCATCTTGTAGCCAGTACCAGCCCCTCTGAGGCGGCTCTGAGGCGGCTCTGAGGCGAGCTCGGACAGTGGGTAGCGGACCACGTCTTCTTCCAGGAGGAGGATCTGGGCACCAGGGAGCAGGAGGGAGCGTTTGGGGGCGCAGCAAGCCCCTATAATGCCTGGCTGCGGTGAGCCCACCTTGCAGGCCTGCACGTTCAGCGGGACGCCCAGCGCCGGCGCCTTCTCAGGCTCAGCCCTCCTCTGGGCCACAGTGAGCGTCTGTCCCTGACCTCCTCCTCACGGGGCTCGGGCAACTTGACGCGGCTTGAGGGGATCAGCTCATAGTTCTCCATCTCCCCTGTGGTCCTGTTTCCAGACTCAGAATGGAAGTCTTTGTGGACAGGCTCAGGAGAGGGCGTGCCTTTCAGCGAGGAAAGCGCCGCCATGAGGTGCTGGGGGAAGCAGTCGGGTTGCCGCTCCGTGAGGAGCAGGTAACCACCTGTGCCGAGGAGCCCCTCAGCTGGAAATACTGGTCAAGAAGCCCAGCGTTTTGTTTTGTTTTTTAAACCAAGCTTTATTTGCTCTAAAGCAGGTAAGTGCTGCCATTTACAGGCTCGGTTTTACCATATAAAGAATCAGTTACTCCAGCCCCAGTAGCTTATCTACTTATGTGGTATGTTCAGTTCAGTTCAGTTCAGTTCAGTCCAGTCACTCAGTCGTGTCCGACTTCTTGCGACCCCATGAATCGCAGCACACCAGGCCTCCCTGTCCATCTCCAACTCCCGGAATCCACCCAAACCCATGTCCTTCGAGTCAGTGATGCCATCCAGCCATCTCATCCTCTGTCATCCCCTTCTCCTCCTGCCCCCAATCCTTCCCAGCATCAGGGTCTTTTCCAATGAGTCAGCTCTTTGCATGAGGTGGCCAAAGTATTGGAGTTTCAGCTTCAGCATCAGTCCTTCCAATGAACACCCAAGACTGATCTCCTTCAGGATGGACTGGTTGGATCTCCTTGCAGTCCAAGGGACTCTCAAGAGTCTTCTCCAACACCACAGTTCAAAAGCATCATTCTTCTGAGCTCAGCTTTCTTTATAGTCCAACTCTCACATCCATACATGACTACTGGAAAAACCATAGCCTTGACTAGATAGACCTTTGTTGGCAAAGTAACGTCTCTGCTTTTTAATACGCTATCTAGGTTGGTCATAACTTTCCTTCCAAGGAGTAAGCATCTTTTAATTTCATGGCTGCAGTCACCATCTGCAGTGATTTTGGAGCCCCCAAAAATAAAGTCTGACACTGTTTACACTGTTTCCCCATCTATTTGCCATGAAGTGATGGGACCAGATGCCATCATCTTAGTTTTCTGAATGTTGAACTTTAAGCCAACTTTTTCGCTGTCCTTTTTCACTTTCATCAAGAGGCTTTTTAGTTCCTCTTCACTTTCTGCCATAAGGGTGGTATCGTCTGCATGTCTGAGGTTATTGACATGTGATATGACTACCAATAAATTCATCAGGGTTCCAAAACACTGAATTCTCTTAAATAGTTAAACAGTCTTAGTGTCAAACTGAGAATGTTAGTCACTCAGTTGTGTCTGACTCTTCAGGATTTCCCAGGCAAGAATACTGGAAAGTGAAGTGAAAGTCGCTCAGTCATGTCCGACTGTTGGAGACCCGTGGACTATACAGCCCATGGAATTCTTCAGGCCAGTATACTGCAGTGGGTAGCCTTTCCCATCTCCAGGGGATCTTCCCAACCCAGGGATCAAACCTGGGTCTCCCACATTGAGGGCGGATTCTTTACCAACTGAGCTATCAGGGAAGTCCAAGAATACTGGAGTGGGTTGCAATTTCCTTCTCCAGGGGATTTTCCTGACCTGGGGATCAAACCCAGGTCTCCTGCATTGCAGGCAGACTCTTTACCATCTGAGCCACCAGGGAAGCCTCTAAGTAGTTAAGCAATCTTCCATTTTATTAATAGTTTTATTTATTAGAAATCTTTCATGTCTTTGTCAATGTCGTTGTTAATCCCCACTGCACCACCCCCACCCCGCCCCGTATGGGTTCTTATAATAACAAATTAGTAAGATCTGATTTTATAACAGTTTGGGGTAAATCCGTCCGATCCAAGGAACCCAGGAAAGAATGATCTGAGAGGTGACCCTAGAGGGGTGCCTGGACCAGACATTGGTCATTCGGAGGCTGTCTGGCATCCACGCCCCTCTGGGACTGCCCCCTTTGAGGGGTCTTCCGTCTTGTGGGGCCTTGGGGTAGGAACTTGGGCTCAGTGGCCCTTCCAGGCTCTGAAGCCTGAAAACCATGGGGCAGCAGTGGCCTTGGTGCTTCACAGGCTAAGGAGGGGTGTGCAGGTCATTCCTGGGACGCTGTGCTTTTCACAACCCCCTTGATTCTGGGGCCCTAACCTACTGTCACGTCAGCCAGCCCCAGCATCCTTCCAATCACAGACTACTCTGTCCAAGACACGACACCCAGAGTCAGGTTTGTTTTTTTGTTGTTTATTTATTTGCTGCTCAGGTTCTTAGTTGCAACACCTGGGATCGTCTGTCTACATTGTGTCATGCGGGGTCTTGAGGTGTACCTTATGGCCTGTGAACTCCTTAGCTGCGGCATGTGGGATCTAGTTCCCTGACCAGGAGTCAGTTCTTTTATTTGTAAAAAAAAGTACAGATGGCCTGCTACCATGCCCTTTTCCAAAGAGTTTTTGATCCACAAACACTTTCCAAGCCAATTGACTGTGTTATTGATGCTAAGTGTTTAACAAGAAGGAAATCAGAGTGATTTTAGAAACAAGAGCACTCAATCCTGTCTTGACTGGGAATTCCTGAGTTGAAGATTTAAGATGTATCTGGAAAAAGCCTGTGGGCTCTTAAAATGTAGCCATGTTTCCATAATTGATATATTATGCCTTTTTCATATTCTTCATCTGTGTGTGGCTGCAAAAATCATAAAGAAAACTTTCTCTTCCCAAAGGAGTACTCCTTTATGGAAAAGTGTTGATTTTTTTTTAAGCCACAATCGTGCTTCTGAGAATGTTTATCTCACTTTACTAAAACCTCATGGGCGTTCTTTATTCTGACACTTAAGACTATGAGTAAGAACGCCATCCATCTTGGGAGAAAAAACATAAAGAGAATGTTTCTTTCTAAATGTTCTTGCTGTTCAATTTCAAGTGTGTTTATAGTGGAGAAGGGGGAGGATGGATTTTTCTTGAAACTTTGGAGAGGCTAGTTATTCAACATTGTCTATTCTAAATTACCTTTATCATGTAAAATTATTTAGAATTTAGGTCTTTGAAGGTTGATCTTCGTATTTTCAAAGGAAATGGATGTGACACCAATGACTATGTTTGGTCTGTGATATTTGTTCTGAAGGAGAGTCAGTAATTAGGAATGTAATCTTGCCTTTCTGTGTATGGAATTTTTTATCTTACTTTTAAAAAAAAATTATTTTTGGCTGTACCTGGTGGCATGTGGGATCTTGGTTCCCTGACCAGGGATTAAATCCACGCCCCTTGTATTAGAAGAGAGACTCTTAACCCCTGGACCACCAGGGAATTCCCATTTACCTTACCTTCTTAATGTTTGATTCAGCTTTGTCTCTGCTGATCGCCTAGTTTGATCACTTCCCTGGTCACCTACTTCTCTCCAGCTCCACTGTTGCCATTTGGTTCAGGCTGCTGCTGCCTTCCGCCCATATTAACACCTTTTATCTGTTGGAGAAGACTCTTGAGAGTCCCTTGGACTGCAAGGAGATCCAACCAGTCCATCATAAAGGAGATCGGTCCTGGGTGTTCATTGGAAGGACTGATGCTGAAGCTGAAGCTCCAATACTTTGGCCACCTGATATGAAGAGCTGACTCATTGGAAAAGACCCTGATGCTGGGAAAGATTGAGGGCCGGAGGAGAAGGGGACGACAGAGGATGAGATGGTTGGATGGCATCACCGACACAATGGATATGGGTTTGGGTAGACTCCGGGAGTTGGTGATGGACAGGGAGGCCTGGTGTGCTGCGATTCATGGGGTCGCAAAGAGTCGGACACGACTTAGCGACTGAACTGAACTGAACTGATCTGCTTTCATTGCCTCTCTTCTCACCTTTCACTCCCAATTTCCAATCCATTTTCAGTAGCTAGCAAAATCTGCTAAACACACAAATCCGGTCATTTTATCATCTGTCAAATATCATTCAATGTCTTCTCATTGTTCTTAGGGTGAAAAAATCCTTAATCGACTGAGAAGGCCAACATTATCACTTTGTTTTTAGCATTAAAAAGTGCTGAAAGATGAAAGGGTCATTATTGCAAACAGATTCACCAGAGTTGGATTTTTAAATTTCATAACTTGCAATGATTTCATTTTTCAATAACTCTTTATCAGTAAATTATTTCTGTCAAATTTCATACTTTTGAGAAGGGAAAAAAACCCTGAAATGGTGAAGCAATAGAAATAATTCGTTCAATGGAAAAAAGATGTTGAAACTAAGCAAAAATGTTTAAGTTGGCAAAAATTAGAGCCAAAAAAAGTAGAGAAAACAGCCAAAACCCATCCATCAGGAAGTGCCTGGGAAGTGCCCACATCCAAACTGGAATAGGCAATCCCCAAAGTTGCAAAATATGTGGGCAAAATGTATCTTTGACCTAGCGTCACTTATTTTTTTAAGGGAAATGGATCTGTGTGTGTGTGTGTGTGTGTGTGTACATCAGTGGGAAATAAAACAATATTTATGTAAATAAAACAAGATTTGGGGATTAGATTGTTTAGCAACTTCCTAGGTGAGCATACATTATAAGAATGCTCATAATGAGGGAGCCAGAGGCAGACACTTAATGCCAGAAATGAACAACTCTCATAGTCCGGGACTTCAGATGCATCGGCCATTGAGTGGCTTCCTCAATATCAGCCCCAGTTGGCCTACAAGAAAGGACTCATGTAAAACTGTTTTTTATTCCTCTGGCGAGAAGTGATGGATCAAGGTGCATCACTGTCTGCTGTAACTTGAGGTTCAGAAAATCTCCAAAATGGCGGGATTGGCCATGAAAATTCTTCCATCTGAGCTGGGGGTACATTCTTTAGAGAGCCAGTGACAACACCTTTATTTTCTGGAGGAAAGATATGGAGACTATCACAGGTTACGCCCTTCCTGGGAACCACACAAGGGTCTGTGTTTCACAGTGTAGTCCATCTACTCCCACATCAAAGAGGAAGAGATGGAATCTTGGAAAGAAAGTAGACATTTCCTTTGTGCTCAGCATCCTTCCACTTTGTCTCTGGTTTTAGTTTTGAGGGTCATGCCTTCCTCAGTCTTGGTAGGGATTAGGGGGATGCTACTACTCATGGTCTCCTGCTGTCTTCTAGCCAAGCCTGTGCACTTCCCAAAGAATCCCAATCTTGGTAATACCAATACCACATGGATGGAAACTGGTTGGAGCTTTCCTAAAGTATCAGTTCCCAGGAGCTTCCTTCTAGTCTTTCTAAAGCTGGATTCTTCAGCTTTTCATCTGATACTTCCTTTCTGATCTCATTAGTCCAGAGTCAATGTCTGTTGCTTGCAATCAGATGTCCTTGGCTGAGACAATGGTCAGTAACTCACCTGCACACTTTCGCACTGCTAGGCCCAGTCCTTTTGCTTTCTTTCCTTACTGCTTGTGGTTATGATTTCCATGTACTGGGTGTGTGATACATGTGGATCTCACCCTCTTTTCCACATCAGGAGAGTGAAGAAAAAAAAAAAAAAGGAGAGTGAAGAAGGGGGTGTGTACTATGCTGCCTAGGCACAGCTGCCCCAGTTCAAGGCCATGGATTTGTGTTTCTCAGTAAAGCCACACTGCACATGAGCTGAGCTCCCATCTCAATGTGATTTGAAGGTGACCAGATAGACTGGTAGCCTTCACTTATTCGTCTCCTGAGCTGCTTCTGTGTCTGAAACTCCACCATGAGAATCACTAGCTATGGGGCTCTTTCTGAAAGTTTTTGTTGAATACCATTAAGCTAGGGGTTCAGTTCTCAGGTGACAGTAGGTGTGTATTTAGCATCTATTGATTGATTGTTGTTGTTCAGTCACTAAGTGGTGTCCAACTCTTTGTTACCCCATGGACTGCAGCACTCTAGGCTTCCCTGTCCTTCACTATCTATTGGAGTTTGCTCAAATTTATGTCCATTGAGATATTTATCTCATCCTCTGTCACCCCCTTCTCCTTTTGCCTTCAATCTTTCCCAGTATTAGAATCTTTTCCAATGAGTCGTTTCTTCGCATCAGGTGGCCAAAGTATTGGAGCTTCAGTTCCACCATCCGTCCCTCCAATGAATATTCAGGATTGAATTCCTTTAGGATTGAATGGTTTGATCTCCTTGAAGTCTAAGGGACTCTCAGGAATCTTCTCCAGAACCACAATTCTAAAGTATCAATTCTTTGGCACTCACCCTTCTTTATGGTCCAACTCTCACATCCATACATGACTACTGGAAAAACCATGGCTTTGACTAGATGGATATTTGTTGGCAAAGTGATGTCTTTGCTTTTTAATATGCTGTCTAGGTTTGTCATAGCTTTCCTTCCAAGGAGCAAGCATCTTTTAATTTCATGGCTACAGTCACCATCTGCAGTGATATTAGAGCCCAAGAAAAGAAAATTTGTCACTGCTTAAACTTTTTCCCTATTTGCCATGAAGTGATGGGACTGGGTGCCATGATCTTGGTTTTTTGAATATTGACTTTTTTCACTCTCCTCTTTCACCTTCATCAAGAGGCTCTTCAGTTCCTCTTCATTTTCTGCGATTAGAGTGGTATCCTCTGAATATCTGAGGTTGTTGATATTTCTCCGATCAGTCTTGATTCTGGCTTGTGATTCATCCAGCCCAGCATTTCGCATGATGTACTCTGAATATAAGTTAAATAAGCAGCCTGAATATACAGCCTTATCATATTCCTTTCCCAATTTAGAATAACTGTTGCTTCTTGACCCACATACAGGCTTCTCAGGAAACAGATTAGGTGGTCTGATACTCCCATCACTTTAAGAATTTTCCACAGTTTGTTGTGATCCACACAGTCAAAGGCTTTATCTTAGTCAATGAAGCAGAAGTCAATGTTTTTTTGGAATTCCCTTGTCTTCCATGATCTAATGAATGTCTGCAATTTGATCTCTGATTCCTCTGCCTTTTCTAAACTCACTTTTACATCTGGAAGTTCTTGATTCATGTACTGCTGAAGGCTCAGCATAAACTTGCTAGCATGTGAAATGAGTACAACTGTACAGTAGCTGGAACATTCTTTGGCTTTGCCCTTCTTTGGAATTGGAATGAAAACTGGCCTTTTCTAGTTCTGTGGCCCCTGCTGTTTTCCAAATTTGCTGGCATATTGAGTGCAGCACTTTCACAGCATCATCTTTTAGGATTTTAAATAGCTCAGTTGGAATTCCATCACCTCCACTAGCTTTACTCGTAGTGATGCTTCTAAGGCCCACTTGACTTCATACTCTGTGATGTACAACTCTAGGTGAGTGACCACACCATCATGGTAATCTGGATCATTAAGACCTTTTTGTATAGTTCTTCTATATATTCTTGCCACCTTTTCTTAATCTCTTCTGCTTCTGTTAGAGCCTTACCACTTCTGTCCTTTATTTTGCCCATCCTTGCATATCTCCAATTTTCTTGAAGAGATCGCTAGTCTTTTGCATTGTTTTCCTCTATTTCTTTGCATTGTTCATGTAAAAAGGCCTTCTTATCTCTCCTTGCTATTCTCTGGAACTCTGAATTCAGTTGGGTATATCTTTCCCTTTCTTCCTTGCATTGGTTACCTAATGCTTATACAATTCTTTTAAGTTAAATATTATTCATCACAATAGGACATGTATACATCTGAATAATAGTGGTATAACCCTGTGGGAGACACCTAAGAGATTGAGTTTATGGACAGTAAAGCAGGCAGATGGAATTGAGGGTCTCCTTACACAAACTGTGTGCCCCTAACCGCCAAAGCCTCATGTCCTACAGGTGGGGAACCAGTGTAATTATCCCTGCAGTATTCACTATCACATCAGAAGGATTCACTCATCAGAGAGCAGGGGTCACGAGGAACAGCACCCAGACAGAGAAGTTAGGCTGGTATCACCCTGCTAGAGGATATGCATTCCGCAGGCACCTCTGAGAGTGTGTGTGACTTCCGGGGTGGTTCCAAAGACAAGTTTTGATGCCTTATGGTTTGTTTGGGTTTCTTGGAGGCAACTTCTTTGAGAATGAGCACTGGAAATGTAGTAAGTACAAGCTCTGATTTTAGGAACACCAAATTTCTTGCTAAAACTGCCTTGTGCTTGATAACTTGGGTCCACAGCTGGGGTTTGGCAACCTGTGTGTTTCAGTGCTGGCTGAGTCTAAGGTGCATAGATTGTATGAGAGATTTGTGTGGGTGGGGGTTAGTGGAGGGTAGGGAACTCAGTCTGCAAGGAGAAAAGGCATGTTTGTTTAATCTTGTTTGAGGATTGACCCCGTGGAACTGATTAAAGAAACTCAGCTAAAGTTGGAGTCAGCCAGGCCCATAAGGGGAGCTCTCCTGCCCCACCATGCATCATCAATTACTCCAAACAGGAAGAGGTTTAGATCTAGGACTCCATCAGGAAGGTACTTCTTACTATCCAGCAGGAAGAAAACTTTCTTCTGTCCCAGGGCACTCCAGCCGATTGGAGACTGTAGCTGCTCAACCAATGGAGAAGTCTCCATACTTTGGAACCCCAGCTCTTCCAATGGGCTCTTTGGTTATCACAGTTCTGCCAACTCCCAAAAGCAGGTTCCCGTTCCTGGTTTTCTGGATTTGCCTATGGTCTGACATATTTCTCCCATCCTGAATTGCAGTTACTCTGGCTATTTCATAATAAATTCACTTTTTCTGGTAACATATTAACAGCTATTATAGTATTTAACTTATATGCAGAGTACATCATTTGAAATGCTGGGCTGGATGAAGCACAAGCTGGAATCAAGATTGCCAGGAGAAATATCAATAACCTCAGATACACAGATGACACCACCCTTATGGCAGAAAGTGAAAAGGAACTAAAGAGCCTCTTGATGAAAGTAAAAGAGGAGAATGAAAAAGTTGGTTTAAAATTCAACATTCAGAAAACTAAGATTGTGGCATTCGGTCCCATCACTTCACGGCAAATAGATGGGGTAACAATGAAAACAATGACAGACTTTTTTTTGGAGCTACCAAATCACTGCAGATGGTGACTGTAGCCATGAAATTAAAAGATGTTTGCTGCTTGGAAGAAAAGCTATGACCGATCTAGATAGCATATTAAAAAGCAGAGATAATACCAACAAAGGTCCGTCTAGTCAAAGCTATGGTTTTTCTAGTAGTCATGTATGGATGTGAGAGTTGGACCATAAAGAAAGCTGAGCACCAAAGAATTGATGCTTTTGAACTGTGGTGCTAGAGAAAACTCTTCAGAGTCCCTTATACAGCAAGGAGATCCAACCAGTCAGTCCTAAAGGAAATCAGTCCTGAACACTCACTGGAACAACTGATGCTGAAGCTGAAACTCCAATACTTTGACCACCTGATGGGAAGAGCTGACTCATTGGAAAAGACTCTGATGCTAGGAAAGATTGAAGGCGAGAGGAGAAGGGGACAACAGAGGATGAGATGGTTGGATGACATCACCGACTTGATGGACATGAGGTTGAGCAAGCTTCAGAAGTTGGTGATGGAAAGGGAGGCCTGGCGTGCTGCAGTCCAAGGGGTCGCAATGAGTCAGACACGACTGAGCAACTGAACTGAGCTGATAGTATTTGAATTGACAGCCCCAAAATGGAAGAAAGGGAGATATGGAAAAAGAAATACTTAGCATGTGATTTCAGCCTAGCCCCAGGAACTAATAATAAAAGCCAGAATTTATTGATAGCTTAGTTAGTGGCAGACAGCATATCCACTCACTTAGCCCTCCCAGTGACTCTGTCACAGAAACAGTTACCATCATCTCCATCTTAGAAGAAATGAGCTTTGTGATATTAAGGGACCTTCTCAGAATCACATGCCCAGGTCTGTTGCTCTTAGAGACCCGGCCTCACCCCCACAGTGATTGGAAGCTTCTCCAGGGCTAACCATTAAGGAAGGTGTGGCCTGGTGCGTGTATTTGTGGGCACAGGTCCTGGCTCCAGTGAGTGAAACCCAAAGAGGATATTTTTGGCATCTCTATGTTATCAGCTTTGGGAGTCAGGGAATCAACCAACCTCAAGAGTGAGGCATCATTCTCAAGGAACCAGCGTGAATCTCAGCTGTGTAAACTGGAGACTCAGTCTGTTCATCTGTAAAATGGGGAGAGCAACATTTCCTATTTTAGAATTATATTCAGTTAGAATGCTAGAAAACACAGACTAACAGTAGCTTAAGCAAAAGAAGTCTGTGTTTCTCTCATATAAACAAACTCTAGAGATGTACAGTCCAGGACTCATATGCTGGTTCCCTGGTAATCAAATACCCAGGCTTTCTTCATATTTGTTCTGCCATCCCCACCACATTTCTTCCACCTCATAATTCTAAATGGCTTCTCTATCTCCAGCCATTATATCTGCTTCCATTCATCTGGAAGGAGGAAGGAGCAAAGGTCACTCCCTTTAAGGTCACTCTCTTCCTGGAAGTTACACATGCCCTTTCCATTTATATCCCACTGGTCAGAACTCAGCAAATGCCAAATCTAGTTGCAAAGGAAGCTGAGAAATGCTTTCCTCCTGTGAGGCTACTTATCTAGCTAAAAGCCAGGAGTTCCATTACTAAGAAAGAAGATGAGAATGGGTATTGGGGTCACTGGGAGGATGGAATGAGTTAAACGTAGGTAAGTTACCCAGCAGCAGAGCTTCCTAGCACTCAGGGTACACTAGACAAACACCAGTTGTAAATCTTTCTTTCCTTCCTTCACAGGTTCCCCATTAGACATCCCTTTATAACATTCCAACGTGGTCATATCAGCTTATTATGAACAAAGGGCCAATCAAACACATATCTTTTGGAGCTCTTATTCTTTTATAAATTTTGTAATTTTGTTGTAGGAAAGATTAATTTTTTAATCTTGTAATTTTTTAAATTCCCTGTTGTTCTTGAAGATTTGTTAGTAAGGAATCCTCTTTCTTCCTAATGCTGTAATCCTTGGCTCTCTGCTTTCCCTTAAGGTAATTAAGGCCCATCATAGAAGGCAAATAAAAATGATGTCAGTGTCACAATAAAGTGTGATAACTGAAAAAGTAAAGCACCACAGTCATCTTTTCTCAGCCTTGAAGTCATTATTGATATTCATGCTGTATTCCAAAAGGTGAGTAAGGTCTGCCCTGTATGAGCTACTAGGACTTGAGCGAATCAGTTCCCACTCTAAGCCTCAGTTCTACTCCAGAAGACAAGACTGTGAGGGTGTACTGGAAGGACTGATGGAAGGAAAATCTCTCCACACACTTCTTGGCATCTGGCACACCCACCTCAAGGGATAGCTCTTTTATTTTTCTATCCAGAAGACTATCAGGCTTAGTTGGAGATTTTTATTGAGGTTTCAAGTTCAGGACATTTTATTTTCTGTAATAGTAAAAAAAACAATTTCTTCAGGATAGCCCCAAACTGGAGATAGCCCAGTCCTTCAACAAAAGAGTGGATAAACAAAGTCTGCCTGTTCTTACAAAGGCACACAGCTCAGCAATCAAAAGGAAGGAGCAACTCACGTCCATAGCCACAGGGATGAATCCCAAACCATTGTGCTGAGTGAAAAGAAGTCAGCCCCCAAAAAGTACATAATGTATGATTCCACATATTTGTGGCAAAATTAATCTGTGGCGGAAAAGAAAAACAGAACAGTGGTTGCCTCTGGGGGGGGTGGCAGCAGGGAGTGACTGAGACAGGATCTGAGCGAATGTTCTGGAATGTTCCAGGGCCCTGCACTCGGGAGCATTTCTGACGGTGGTTATTCTGCATGTCTGGCGGAATTCTTTCCTCACATCTGTGGCTCCATCAGACTGTGGGTTCCAGGAGCAGGAGGTTTGGCTCACCACGGTCTCTCCAGACCCCAGCACAGTAGCTGGCTGGTAGCAGAGACCACTTACCGTTCACTGAAGGAAGGCGAAGGAAGGGGCGGCAGCCACGAGGGTGTACCCAGGAGCAGGGATGCCCAGGGCCCCTCGCTCTGCCCCGAGCTGGAGGCCCAGCTCCAGGTCGGTGTGGAGGCCCCGCAGCCCGCAACGGAGCACAGCAGGACCCTGAGTCAGTCCTGCTCCTGGGGGAGCATGGGGCCCCCGCGTGGCCCGCTTCTCAAGGACCCTCTCACAGAAGCAGCCAGACCGCCGCTGCACCCCAGAGCAGCCTCGCACGCCCCCACCCAGTATTACTTCCCTGCCTCCTGCCCCCTGGTCTGACCGGCTCCCCACGGGCCGCTCTCCAAGTCCTTCCCAGTCCATCTCCTGTGGGAATTTCCTCTGATAAAAACCTGTGCAAAGCGCACCCTGTCGTGGCGTCTGCTTCCTAGAAGGTCCAAGCTCACGGAGCGGGAGGGAATGCACATGTGACGAAGGGAGGCAGCTCAGGCTGACCGCCGGGGGATAGGACGGGAGCCCGCGCTGACCGCCGAGGCCGGGACAGGGGCCTGGGCCGACTTACGTTGCTCTGTGTTGCAGGTCAGTTTCCTGACCTCCGTGCCTCGCCTCCATGATCAGCTTCCTGAAGCGGGGAGGATTGGCCGGTGTGCTTCCTGTAGTTTTTGCCTTTTCCAGAATAGGAAAGCAGTACACGGAGGAAGCAAAGTTCTAGACCCTCAACTTTAGCCACGCAAAGGATGAGAAGCACCGTTTTCTAAACTAAGCCATTTCATAAATGGCTTGTGACCCACTGCAAGTCAGCTGAGTGAGTCTCAACCACCATTTAAGGAAAAAAATTGAAAGTCAGTCTGTCTTTTTGCGATCCCATGGATTATACCATGGAATTCTCCAGGCCAAAATACTGGAGTGGGTAGCCTTTCCCTTCTCCAGGGGATCTTCCCAACCCAGGGGTTGAACTCAGGTTTTCCGCATTGCAGGCATATTCTTTACCAGCTGAGCCACAAGGGAAGCCCAAGAATACTGGAGCGGGTAGCTTCTCCCTTCTCCAGCAGACCTTCCCAACCCAGGAATTGAACCAGGGTCTCCCGCATTGCACGTGGATTCTCTACCAACTGAACTATCAGGGAAGCCCTAAGAAAAAAAAGAAACCTATTAAACAGATAGAACAGAGCAAGGTGTAAGAATCAGGATCCATCACAGAAAGAAGGGGCCAGTTTTGTGTCCTGAATGTTGTTTTTACAGACAGGTGTGTTTGTAGCAGGTCAGGGGTGAAATGTGTTTCTTAATGGTGGTGAGTCGTGGTCCAAAATGTTTAGAAAACTCTGATCTCCTGGCATCGTCTCGTTCAGCATTGCTCCAGGACACATTTCTCCGCCAAAGTGCTGCTTTCTAAAGGGATTTCCTAGGCAAACTGACAGCTCAGAGCCGACAGCTGACTCACTGGAAGAAAGTCTCCTGGGGTGATCTCAGCCCGCGTGCAGGCTCACAGGAGTTAAGGATGTTAAAGGCTGCATCCGCATCATCAATGTCACTGAATTTGTAGGACTTTCCAAACCTGTCTGACCTCTAAATGCCTCCTCCCTCTTATATTTTCAATCACCCTGGATCATCTATATTTCTCTCCCTAGACATGACCGTGGAGAGAGACTGACCCAGCTCACGTCTGCTCCAAGGATTCCTCACCACGCTGTCCTTGTTGGTGGGATGAGGGGAGAGGGAGGGGGGCTGAGCCCCACCCCTTGGCCTCTGACCTCCCACTCGGATAATAATTTTGTATGCAGCTGCTTCTTGCACTCAGAGACCCACTCAGGAGTGGTGAGCACCTACAGGCTTTTCCCGTTATTCTCCCAAATGGCCCCAGGATGTATTTAGGCTTTTCTGTGTGAAGTGCATGCATTTGCAGGAGAGTGGCCTGTCCCTGGTGTGGCCCCTGGGCCATGGCTCACCCGGGGACCCAGCTGTGACCTGCACCTCATTCCGCATGCTTGGCGAGGCGGAGTTCAACAGTCAGGTACTCTCCAACAAATGAAAGGCATGCCCATCGCCCATCGGCCCCTGCCACCCTTCCATAGCTGGCAAGAAGGCGGGTCTGACCTTGAGGACAGTCTGGGAGTCGGGAGGTCCTGGCTCTAGACTATGTCTTTGCTGTAGGGCCTGGGCAAGCCCCTGGGCCTTAGGGGTAAAATCAGGCGTCAGGCTCAGTGGTCACACTGACAGAGCAGGAGAGGCACAGCGGGCCTCAGAAGGCCTTAGTTCGTGTGTTTGGTTGAACAGACAGACAAGCTCAGGGAGGCCAAGGAATTTCACCAGCCCACACAGCACGGGTGGGAACTCAGACGTCTAAATCCTGTTTCAGTCCATTCCCATCTGACCACGCTGTTATCCTAAGGTCCCTTCCAAGTATCTTCCAACACATAAAGTAATCAGAGAAGAGGGGCAGATAGTACACACAGCTCACCTGAGAGGTCTTTAAACGGCCTCTAAAGAAAACAGAGGAGATAGTTACAGAAGCCATAATTGTTTAATAGCAGTATATTTGCATACATGATATTTCTAAGTGCTTTTAAAAATCTCCTAAGCTCAATATAAGTAAATGAAGATTTCTCTCATTTCCCTTTGGCAAACTTCTTAATTCCAAATAAATGGCATTTACCTTGTTGGGTGTTTGTCTAACCTCTTAATCAAGAATCTTGAGTACAGTGGAGGGAAATCCAACTAAAATAGTTTGAAGAAAAAGAGGATCTATGACTAACGTAAGTGGAAACCCACTCAATTAGAGTCAGAGACTGACAGTTGTGGTCTTGCTCTCACAGGAGTTCCAAACTCCGCGCGCATCGCTGTATGGTTGAGGCATCCTTTTCTCCTTCTAAAGATATACTTTCTCCTTTTGGGGAAGACGTTTGCCAGCAGCCTGTTTCCAGCTCTTTCACCAAAAATGGTGACTTCTTTTTCTCTACCTCTAAATAAACAATCCTAGGGAATACGTCTGATTGGTCCTGCTCGGGTCACATGACCCCTCTAAACTGTAGACCAATTACTGGGGCCAGGTGGTAGGGTTATGATAAATGGCTGGGCCCAGGTCATGTGCCTACACACCTGTGGCCAGGATATCTTTCTCGTGGGCACACACTAAGATAAACAGCCAAATGTGAATTGCTAGTTGACTTAGAAAGTTGAGATGGTGTATGAGAGACAAGTGGTCTGCCTAAATTGCAGGAATGAACTCCTTGCTTGGAACGAATATTTACTTGTCCACACCATGTTCACAGGTATGTATTTGTGAAAATAATGCAACACAATGGATCAGGTTGATCTAACTCCCATTCTCAATCCTTCACCTATAGCTACTTTTTAGCTGGAGATGGCCAAATATATAATTCTGACCAATAAGACACAAGTTTGTGTTTACTCTGTGAGTCTTGGAAAAGCACACACTTTCCCCAGATAGGTGTTGTTTCTTCCTCCATCCCTCTTTTTTCTTACGGAAGATGGGTGTAATACTTGGAGTTGTGGCAGCCTTCTTGGAAATATGAGGTAAAGGCCAAAAGAATTATAAGCTGCAAACCAGAGCCAGCAAGCTGTTGCCTTGAGACTTTTTGTTAAGTAAGAGAAACAATCCCCTATTTGTTTAAAACACTAAAGTCAGTTTTTTGGATACTTGCAGCCAAAATATTCTTAACTGATAAAATGGATAAATGACATTCCTTGGTAGCCATAAATAAAATCTTAGAAGTTGTAGAATCTGGTATAGGTGTATATATCTCTTTGTTTTACTCTTTTTTTCAGTTATTCACCCTTTCAAACTTTGGGGGAGATGAAGAAAACACAGTTCTTTTACCCAGAGGAAGCTTACAATTAAATAGAGCTTAAAATTTAGGCCAGTGTTGAACAAAGAATTCCTTATCATGCTTAATTCCCCAATGCTGCAATTAAGCCCATTTGCTTTTTATCTCATCCTCAGTAGAGCTCAAGAATGGCTAGTTACCATCTTTTTAAATAAGGAAGACAACTTAATTAAAAATACACTTCAATCTCTGTGATGTGGTGTGTGTGTGGTGTGTGTGTGTGCATGCATGTATTTCCTTTGTTTTCCCTGGTTAATTAACACCAATTTTTTTTTTTTACTTTCTTCACAGATTTTATTTTTCAAACCTCTAATCTTTATGTGATATTTGATCAAACAAAAGCTACAGTTAACAGTTTTTAAAGAATGATTGATAAAGAAAAGCCCTTTCCCCACAAGGGTTACTGAGAGGAGAGGCTATGGGCCTGGCATTATTGGCAGCCATCATGTCACCAGATAGGACACATCTCTTGAGAAGACAACCCAAAAAAGGCAGGAAGAACGGAAAGACAGAGAGCCACATCTTGAAAATATCTTGGAGTCCCAGATCCAGCCTGGATCGGCACTTTCTACTGACTTTCTCATTTCATCATCCAAAACCTTTTCTTTTTAGCTTAAGCCAATTTAAGTAGATTTCCTACCCTGAAATCTGCATGTCTTCTGAGTGGACCTGATTCCACACCATGAATGTGGCATGAATGCACCTCCCACTCAACCTTTTAGCATCTCCCATCCTAAGGGTGGACCTCCTGGACTTACTTGAGACTCAGGCTTGTCCTGCTGGTCCCGATAGACATTAGCCCCTGAATATGCCCTCAGAGGCCCTTACACCTTATTCAGATTCCTAGTGATTCTTCTACTAACGTCTCCCATGGCAATCCTTACCTGAGAAGTGCCCTTGGGCAGCTGGAGCCGATTCTTGCCGAGGTTCCTGGGAGTTACAACCCACAGCCGCGACTTCTTTGAGCTAGCAGGTGACTGGAGTGGGTGTGCGTCTTTGCTTTGGTGTGGGCCATCGGTACAGGGCAGTGTCGGCTCCAGAGCTCCTCCTGAGATGGGGCAGAGGCTAGAGCTCACGCAAAACGACGTCTCACCTGGTGTCTCCTTGCCTGTTCCTTCATAAGTGATTGCACAAGAATCCTAATTTCCAGCTCTGCTTCTAGAGAACCTGGTCTCTCAGTCCAGTTCAGTTCAGTCGCTCAGTCGAGTCCGACTCTTTCGGCCCCATGAACCACAGTACACCAGGCCTCCCTGTCCATCACCAACTCCCGGAGTCCACCCAAACCCATGTCCATTGAGTCCGTAATGCCATCCAACTATCTCATCCTGTGTCATCCCCTTCTCCTCCCGCCTTCAATCTTTGCCAGCATCAGGGTCTTTTCCACTGAGTCATTTTGTCACATCAGGTGGCCCTAGTATCAGAGCTTCAGCTTCAGCATCAGTCCTTCAATGAGCACCCAGGACTGATCTCCTTTAGGATGGACTGGTTGAATCTCCTTGCAGTCCAAGGGACTCTCAA